ACACACACACACACACACACACACACACACACACACACACACACACACACACACACACACACACGCGCGCGCACGCGAGACACTCGATAAATCTATGTCCTTGATGTCTGACGGACGGGCCTCGCTCAGGTCCTCCCTTGTGCGTTGTTAATCGGACACTGACGATATCTCGGGGCCGGAGACGCATTTAATACTTCTCACGACTCACACGCTCGTGCACACGCAAGAGCCTTAACACACACTCACTCGAACATACCTGTACACATGAACACTCGCTTTCACACACGCACTCGCGAACAGCACTTTCCTCAGAAATCTAAAAAAAAAACAAAAAAAAAAAAACAGCGTTATCTACAGCCTTTCTTATTCAGCCACTTGGGCTGGACGGTAGAACGGCGGTATCGCTTCATGCAGGTCGGCGTTCAATCCCCGACCGTCCAAGTGGTTGGCCACCGTTCCTTTCCCTCCGTCCCATCCCAAAATCCTTATTCTGACCTCTTCCAAGTGCTATATAATCTAATGAGTTGGCGCCTTCCTTAAATCTTGTCTTGTACAACCCTTCTTGCGAATCGCCAGCATAACGAGGCAACTACATTCAGAGTCCAAAAAAGTAATGTGATATATAAAACAGGACGAAAGATGGTAATCAGAGTAGATTTCATCCACCCAGAAATGGATTGGGAGCCACCAGATCACCTTGGGGGACCAAGAATCATGGAACACTAAATTAACAGATGCCACAGAGAGGAACTTCCTATCACAACATGTCAAAGCAGGAGCTAAAATCAATGACTTAAATTTTCATCTTTACCGAGAATAATGCAGATGTTTGATAATATACAACCAAATGTCAATAGGAGAGAAGACACATGATAGAAGAGGGACACATGAGAGAAGAGAGAGAGAGAGAGAGAGAGAGAGAGAGAGAGAGAGAGAGAGAGAGAGAGAGAGAGAGAGAACACAGAGAAACGAGAGAGGACATCGAAACAAGAGAGGACATTGGAGAGAAAAGGGAGGATTTAGAGAAAAGAGAGAACACAGAGAAAAAGAGAGGACCTAGAAGAGAGATGGCACAGAATAAAAAAGCTATAATTTCAGAAGTTGACAAGTAAAAACAGAGAGTATTAGTCAAGAATTCAACGGGAAACCCCACATATTTTAACTAATGTAATACAAGGCAAGAACACTGTAAAAAGCATGATATAAGGTGTTTTAAATTCCCTAACACGGAGGCGTTATCAGGTCACAAATACTGGCCTAAAGGTTTAACCGAAATACGAAAACTTGCGCCTGTATGAGGAGTGAAGGAAAAGGTATTTCAAAAGCAGAATGATGAAAAGTGGAGAAAGGAGTTGAGCAAGACAAGAAATGTGTCTGCTGGCTGGAGGAAATCATGCATCATGTTAGGGGAAAATAACCCACAATTCCGTTTCTCAAACAAATAATCACAGCGCAGACATACGGAATGATAGAGGCGACGTTGCAGTTTGTCCTTGGTCGCTTATCATGTCTAAGGTCCGTCCTGGACCCCTTATCAACTCAAAGGTCCGTCCTGGACCCCTTATCAAGTCAAAGGTCCGTCCTGGACCCCTTATCAAGTCAAAGATCCGTCCTGGATTCCTTATCAAGTCAAAGGTCCGTCCTGGACCCTTTATCAAGTGGTAGCATATTAAGATTTCAAGATTCAAGAAAACACAAGAGGGAAGGTGAGGGTGATAGGAGGCGAGAAATAGGTGAAAAAGCGAAGCATGAAAACGGAACCAACATACTATATGGGACAGACAGGCAACAGTCCCGTGACCCGTAAACTCGTACCCAAATGGGCCAATATGCAAAATCTTCGTCTACTGATCACCGGCAGAGTGGGAGCCAGGCGCCCTCCACGCCCCGAGGGCACGCCAGGAGCCCAACTAAACCTGGCCCCACTCCGCCGAGGACACCGTCTCTCCGCCCGAAGGTCAGTTAAGCCATATAATGGAAAAACTTATCAACTTCCGTGTGGCCCCCAATGTTGAGGCGGGCCCCAGACACAGCAGGCATCCTGACCACGACTAGTCATGAGGATGGACCCAACCACACTTCCGGCAGCTCCACTAATCATATACCAAAATATTATGAAAGAGAGGAAACCACACCTTAAAATGAGTGATGTATAACAATGCCAAATACCACCATATTAGCACCATCTAGTGACTGTAGTTTCAACTACATTCTCTACATGTATATCTTAGTTTATATAAATAAACACGAGACGGAAATTTTGTTTCTAACTTTGCAGCAGAATAAAATATTCTTGCTGGCTGATTAGTCAGTTAGTGTAGAAATGAATAATTGCTTCTTCTTCTTCTTCTTATTCTTGATAGTAGGTGCAGTTTGCATGAAGGGTTTGTCCTCCCGATGACTGCACCAGTACAGGGAGAGGCGTTCATGTTGAGGATGATAAAGAGTTTCAAAAGTGCTTGTTGCGTTGTGCTGTAGATAGAGGAGCGGCGACTAAAACAGAGGTGTGTGTTAGAGGGAGACTTGCCGCACCTTTGGGCGGTGTGTTGTGTTTATGGCGTCAGCTGATCCATGGTGCTGCGACGAGGCATTTGTTTTCTGTGTTTAGCTGTTGGTGGCGCCAGGTATAAATGTGGCGCGGGTCAGGTGTGGCCCAATTTGTTACTCGACTGGAGATATTTAGCCATTGTTTTGACTATTTGATATTTTTCCTGTAACGAGAGGTCACCTCCTAATATATGCTCGACAGTAAAGGGTAATTTAAGTGCGATAAATACTTGTTTGAAATTTACTCAGGCACTATGATGTCGGAAGCAGTGAAGGAGATAGTATTCAATTGTTTCAGGCACCTGACAGTGGATGCAGAGTTCGTTGAAGTCTGTTCTGTACTTAGAGCTGTGTGCTGCCAGTTTGGTGTGTCTCAGCCTTAATCTGGTCATCGTTACATCAATTTCTCTGCTTTTATATCTGACATGTTACCAAGTTTCCCATTTATTTTTAATGGCCCCATAGTACAAAGGTGAGTATTTCGTTTTCCATTTCGTTGCAAAATCTTGGGTGATGGTATCTTTGAAGGCTCCTTTACGTGCACCATCAGGAATTAGATGACGGGTAATGTGAGGCGTGTTGTGCATCACTTTGGCTAGTTGATCTACAAGTTTATTATGGAGTATACCTCAATGCGCTGCGACCCATTGGACAGAGATGTCATGACCGTTCAATCGATGTTCATGAAGGAGTTGAAGGCATGGGTAAACAAACTTTTTGCACGTTGTTGAAGAGTACTTAATAGCTTGAATCGCACTCTTGGAGTCATTACAGATTGTATCTATCTCAACAGGGTAATGTTGTGATTATTTGGAGAGTTTGATATAAGGCATATAATTCAGCTGTGAAAATAGACTTCGGTTACATATAATTTCACCTCCACAATAAAATTTTACCTAACTCCCCATCCCGCCATATCTCGTTTTCTTTTATGAGAGTCGGGTCTAAGATCTGAGGTGAGTACGTATATCACTACGTCATCGCTACGCTTTATATAAACCTAGTGTAAACATAACCCAACCTAACATAACGTAACCTAACGTAACACAACCAAATTAACTCGGCCTAACCAATATTAGCCCGGCTTAACAGGTGGGTCTGTTGTCAATTCACCACCATTTTGTGTTGTGTTGTCAATTCCATCCTTGGGGAGGGTCAATATCCTAGTCCCAAGGGAGGGGGGGGGGGAATGACTGCTGGGTTCTGGTCAGTCTTTCATCCGTGAATTATGACAACAAATAAAGGTTACATTTAGTTTTGTTTTATTTTTAACATCAATATCCCAGTGGACACAATATCCAAGAGAAAACTGGATTCAACATTGAATTGACGTTAATTCAATGTTGATTTGACGTTGATTCAACATTGATTCAATGTTAATTTAGCATTGATTCAATGTTGATTTAGCGTTGATTCAATGTTGATTCAATGTTGATTTAACATTGATTCAACGTGGATTCAATGTTGATTTAACATTAATTCAACGTTGAATCTATGTTGATTTAACATTGATTCAACCTTTTACTTGAATATTATGCTCACAGAGATAATATATCCATCTTCTCATCTAATGCGTGAAAATTTTTAATTGAATCGAGCAATTCTTTAAAAATCCGATGATTTAGTAAACCACCAAAAATAGTGACGTTTTCTATGCACCGGCCTGGATAGGTTAGGTGGGTTGTTTGGGTTCTTGCGTTTCTGCTTAGGCAAACCAATTCTAGGTGACAATGTCGCCGTTCGTGAGGTATCAGGTGACAATTGCAATGAGCCCCAGGCAGCCTCGTGAGGGAGGTCTGCCTTGTGAGAGTTATTTCCCCTACCTGACGAAGTAGGAGTCGGAGGGAAGGGAACTATCAGGGGAAAGGCCCAAGTCATTACAACTATATAGCACTTAGAAGGGGTCAAGATAAGGATTTGGGATGGGACAGGGGGAAGGAATGGTGGTCAATCTCTTGGACGGTCGGGGATTGAACGCTGACCTGAACGAAGTGAGACCGTCGAGCTCTGGTGCTCGTTGGAGGAGGATTTAAGTGTGGAGTCGTCCAGAATGGGGGAGTACCCTTCTCAGTAAGACCGGCGCGCGGAGTAAGACGTCGTCGGATGGTGAAATTTAACACTGATATATGTTATTTATGTTTTGATCGGAGAATATGTTATTATGGTATGGTAATGGAATTACAGATTTGGGTAAGGGGAAGCTCGTGTATGAAGTTCGTGTTTGGAGAAGATTATATGGTGAATCTCCAAGTGTGGAGTAGAACTTTATGTGTGGAGTGAAACTTTAAATGAAGCATGGAACTTCACTGGTAGAGTGAAACTTCATGCAGTGGTTGAGTGAAACTTTAAGTGTAGTGGAACTACACGTTTATGAACGCCGTGCAGAGGATCTTCATGTATAAAGTAGGACTTCGAGTAGAAGTAAATATTGCAGAGACTGCAGGAGTACCTACCTGATCTGAGGACCCATAGACGTATGGTCTTAGTGGTGGGCTTCAGGACGAAATATAGAGAATTATATGGACAACATTGTTGTCTGAGGGAGTGCATGAACTCATACGTCATGAACGACGCAGTACAAGGTGAGAGCGTTTAGTATTTTCTTGTCTGAATTAATATATATACGAGTTGCCAGCCCCAGAGTGGGAGAGGGGCAGGAGGCTGCCGGCATGGAATTTAAAGCAGCATCCTCGTGTACTGTATTTGTCGGAACATTGACATTATATGAGAGTTGTGTTAGTGTGTAGGTCCTGATGATAATATGATGTTGTTTCTTTATTCTTTGTATTTTTCAATAATAAATGTTTTTATGTAGACAACGTGCCTTTGCACTTCTGTTGATGATGAATTCCTAGACGGAGAGAGAGAGAGAGAGAGAGAGAGAGAGAGAGAGAGAGAGAGAGAGAGAGAGAGAGAGAGAGAGAGAGAGAGAGAGAGAGAGAGAGAGAGAGAGAGAGAGAGAGAGAGAGAGAGAGAGAGAGAGAGAGAGAGAGAGAGAGAGAGAGAGAGAGAGAGAGAGAGAGAGAGAGAGAGAGAGAGAGAGAGAGAGAGAGAGAGAGAGAGAGTTGGAAATAGATCGACAGCAGATATAATAGTTATGAAAGGGAATTAGAAGGAGGGCATCCCAACTAAGGAAAGTGAGGGCAAATCACGGTGGCTCAGCGGTGTGTACTCATGACAACTAGGCCCGAACTGAGCGGATTCCCCAAAATCAGGTGACGTTGAGCCTCTTCTCCAAACATAAGACGTTTACTGGGAGACTCCAATACACATTCCATTGTCCATTAATTGACGACAGGATCAGTAAGTAGTGTCATCATCATTAGTTGTTATATAATTTTATCATCTCTGATTCAAAGATAGAATCCCCATCTCCCTGATACAATGTCGTCGTGGGGAGGACGTGAGGAAGCAGGTGACGTCGAGGTGGGCATCAAATCTATGATAATATCCATCTGTTACAATTGATGAAAGTGACACCCAGAAATAAACCATACACTTGCAAGCACGTGGATCACAAATTTATACAAACAAACCACAATATCCCGAGTTACATATAGCACGTCCAGGATCAACATGGCGGACGAAAGGCCTCGCTGTAAGCATGATTACCATTCCCACCGTAAGCTGAATGATCATTCTCTCGTAGCCTCTCTGTATGCTAATCATACGCGGCAAATCGGCGCTGCCTTGTTCCAGAATGCTAAAACCGAGCCATCCGCGAGGAGGCGTTCGAAAAAGCCGATGATTCAAGCCATGCCTTATCGTGCGTTCGTTTTGTTTCGTGTTCGAAGCGTATCACATGTTATATACACATTATTGAATCACACTTTAGACAAGCTGATTATACTCCACATTAATTATAACCAACACATCCATTGTCCTATTAGCATAGTTTGGTGCTGGGCATAAGGCCTATTAACCTCTGAAGGGTTATTAAGGCTGCCTCTCAATAGATCACTGACCAATCACCAAATGGATACCTTACTCATGAACACAGCCCAGGACTGAGGTAAACTGCCAGTGTGTGTATATACACCGATGAATGAGGTATACATCTTGCTGTATGTATATATCCCTGTTAGAATTCTAGTGAACACCTGACGTACTCGCCTTTACGAGTTCCTAGACGCGTATACATATGTCTGCATAGAATTCTTACCCGAAATACATATACATTTTGCTCCCCACCCCATTCATTAATAGTTCAATAAACAAAATAAATCCAAAGATTATGGTTAATAAAAAAAAAGTTTGGTTTGTACTTAGTTACTCATTAGCTGAAGTCTGGTTATTTAGATTTTTAAATTTTGCTCAAATTTAGAACTAGGTTAGGTTGATGTAGGTCTTTTTGGGGCGGATTATTTGACTCTATGTACGTAATGGGGTTCATATCAATACATTATTGACGTACGTCGTTGCTAATTAGTCAATACATAGCTCACTATTGATAAACTCATCATTAACGACCATAAGCAGCATAATGTTGTTTCAGATTTAGCTACTCAGAACGAAGTGTCTATGTAGCACGGGCTATGGTGACCCCGTAAACCATAAAGCCCGTAAGCAGCATAAAAGTTAGACCTTTTGTATACTCGCTCCGGGAGTATAGAAATGGGATGGAAATGATAAAAAAAAACTTCTTCGAGAAAACAAAAGCACAGCAAGTAACAAAACAACAAATGGCAACCCATCCTCCTCTTTAAATAGTACGTTTTGTAACTACGTGCACCATAGTTCAAATATCGACGTATTAAGCAAATAGATAGTAAAATTGTGAACTATACACTTTACAGAGTCCGGCAAAAATGAAGCTAGACACAAACTTAAATATTCCCAGGCCTCGTATAGCACACATATGTACTATTTTATGCCTCAGATAGCATCCATTAAGCCTAGGAAGATTAGATTAGTTTAGTTTGTCTTTCCAACATTAGAAAATTGTTTTTCAGTTTTGTCCAAATTCAATGGCACCGATTTCTGCTTTCTAATTGCGTTGTACGACGGTATATGTACTATGCTCCTCATCCTTTCTATATTTACGGGCTATTCATGCCCGTGCCACCTCTTGGGTGGCTTAATCTTTATCAATCAATCTTCCTATATATACTATCAAAACAGGAGGATGGGTTGCATATGGAGCTAATTAAGATTTACGGGCTATTCATGCCCGTGCCACCTCTTGGGTGGCTTAATCTTTATCAATCTTCCTATATATACTATCAAAACAGGAGGATGGGTTGCATATGGAGCTAATTAAGTAATCATCACCACACGTCTCATGCCTCACGGAATCAGTTAAAAAATGGGAGATACAGTAGTTCAAATTAATGAACATCGATGCCTTTTTTGGGTGCCTCTGCCTCGATGGGTTAGGTGGGTTGCATAGGTTCGTACGCTTTTGGTAATAGGCACAACAGTTTACGTTTTTACGGAGTGGCAAAGCGAGAGTACAAGCTGCATATTCCACACTTTCTACCCCATTCTTCTTTCCATGAAAATAAAGACCGCACAGCAAGGCGGGATAGTGATAAATATTCAGAGAGGAAGGCATTAGGTTTCTTGTGTGTGTGTTGAGCGGAGTGACGCTGATGGATGGCCTCGGTCTCCTGGGCCCCGGCTCACATACCAACAATAAATTCATCAACCACCGGGAAGGAAAGACTCTGATTCTATTGCCTTCCAGGCTAATGGGGATTTTGTTAGTTATGTTTATATTATTTAAACATTACAGACACATTTACATACTTGCACACACACACACATACACATGCACGCATATTTAAATATACATTATGTACATAATAGATGAGGTTCCCAGTGGTTCCTGGATATATCTGTCTCTTTCTTCTCTTCCTCTTCTCTCTCTCTCTCTCTCTCTCTCTCTCTCTCTCTCTCTCTCTCTCTCTCTCTCTCTCTCTCTCTCTCTCTCTCTCTCTCTCTCTCTCTCTCTCTCTCTCTCTCTCTCTCTCTCTCTCTCTCTCTCTCTCTCTCTCTCTCTCTCTCGGTTATACGTTCAGTTGTTTCATCTAATTTGTATTTACATCACCTCTGCCTTTGAAAATCTTGACAACATTTAAGAAAATCAAAAGAGGCATTAAAGAGAGACATTAAATGCATCTCTTAGTGCCAGTCTACGTAAGACCGTAAATGAATCTTTGAGAATAAAATTGTCAACTTCCTTCTCAAGCTTACGAATGTAGATGGCCTCCTGTGTGTGTGTGGAGCCTCCTGTGTGTGTGTGGAGCCTCCTGTGTGGAGCCTCCTGTGTGTGTGTGGAGCCTCCTGTGTGGAGCCTCCTGTGTGTGGAGCCACCTGTGTGTGTGTGGAGCCTCCTGTGTGTGTGTGGAGCCTCCTGTGTGTGGAGCCTCCTGTGTGTGTGGAGCCTCCTGTGTGTGTGGAGCCTCCTGTGTGTGTGTGTGGAGCCTCCTGTGTGTGTGTGGAGCCTCCTGTGTGTGTGTAGAGCCTCCTGTGTGTGGAGCCTCCTGTGTGTGTGTGGAGCCTCCTGTGTGTGGAGCCTCCAGTGTGTGGTGCCTCCTGTGTGTGGAGCCTCCTGTGTGTGTGGAGCCTCCTGTGTGTGTGGAGCCTCCTGTGTGTGTGTGGAGCCTCCTGTGTGTGTGTGGAGCCTCCTGTGTGTGTGTGGAGCCTCCTGTGTGTGTGTGGAGCCTCCTGTGTGTGGAGCCTCCTGTGTGTGTGTGAAGCCTCCTGTGTGTGTGGAGCCTCCTGTGTGTGTGGAGCCTCCTGTGTGTGTGTGGAGCCTCCTGTGTGTGTGTGGAGCCTCCTGTGTGTGTGGAGCCTCCTGTGTGTGTGTGGAGCCTCCTGTGTGTGTGTGGAGCCTCCTGTGTGTGTGTGGAGCCTCCTGTGTGTGGAGCCTCCTGTGTGTGTGGAGCCTCCGGTGTGTGGAGCCTACTGTGTGTGGAGCCTCCTGTCTATGTGGAGCCTCCTGTGTGTGTGTGGAGCCTCTTGTGTGTGGAGCCTCCTGTGTGTGTGGAGCCTCATGTGTGTGGAGCCTCCAGTGTGTGGAGCCTCCTGTCTATGTGGAGCCTCCTGTGTGTGTGTGGAGCCTCCTGTGTGTGTGGAGCCTCCTGTGTGTGTGTGGAGCCTCCTGTGTGTGGAGCCTCCTGTGTGTGGAGCCTCCAGTGTATGGGGAGCCTCCTGTGTGTGTGTGGAGCCTCCTGTGTGTGTGTGGAGCCTCCTGTGTGTGGAGCCTCCTGTGTGTGTGTGGAGCCTCCTGTGTGTGAAGCCTCCTGTGTGTGGAGCCTCCTCTGTGTGTGGAGCCTCCTGTGTGTGTGTGGAGCCTCCTGTGTGTGTGGAGCCTCCAGTGTGTGTGGAGCCTCCTGTGTGTGGAGCCTCCTGTGTGTATGGAGCCTCCAGTGTATGTGGAGCCTCCTGTGTGTGTGGAGCCTCCTGTATGTGTGGAGCCTGCAGTGTGTGTGGAGCCTCCTATGTCTGTGAAGCCTCCTGTGTGTG